CTTCCAAGGCTTGATTTGAGGTAGGTGATGGTTGTTGTTTTCCAAGTTTATATGTGTATGCATGTTAATTGTCTCTATAGTGAAACATGTACAATGTACAATGCATGTTGGGAAAAACACAAGGGTTGAATGTGAAATGACGAATTGTTAACAATCTCATGCAATGAAAGTATTTTGCTTACTTGCATTTATAAGTATGAATTACAAGAGGGTTCAAACACAAATGACTTAGGTCCAAAAGTGACCCAAGCCCAAAACAAAAACAATCAGCAACAAGTTGAAACGACCAAAACAAGAAGGAAATGTCGAAACCAAGCGACGCTCCTTTTAGTTCAACGTTGGTCGTCCATGGAGCTCCGAAATTTGTTCTCTCTTTGAATCAAACATGACAGAACTATGTAAGATTGAGTGGTATTCAATTGGGTGTTTGAAAATCTCACGAGCACCATGAATTCGACTTGGTGAAGACTTCTTCAGTTCAACATTGTTACCATCTTCATTTATCAAGGTAAAACACCTAATCACTTGTACATCTCCTGAATCAATCTTAATAAAAAGAAATAACCTAATTCATCCTTAACTCGTGCAGATTAAGCTTAAGAGAACTGATACCACTACATCTTAGTTCAGGGTATCATAGGTATTTTCTCCAATCTTGGTTTATATACGCTTGAATTATAGCATATTACACTCTATGGAGAGTGATTGTTTCCTTTTTCTGTCATATAACTCTTTCTATGAGTATTTGTTTGTTTTGTTAATAATAGTCTTTTAACTTGATCCATAATTTATATTATGGCATTTCTTTGTTCTGAGCTTTGATTTTTTAAAATTAAAAGTGGGCCAAAGTTGCCCATTTTATTGAAATAAATAAATATGTTCACCTCTCAAATGGGTTTGGAACAACCCAGCCCACTCAAGAGAAAGACCCATTTGCCTTCGACCTGACATTCTGAAATAGGATTCCGAGAAGGTGGAGTTCAATAACCCAGTTCAGTGACCGAGGAGAGGTTGAGAAAAAGACAATGAATAAAAGTTGAAGAACGAAAATTAAAGATCAAAACAAAAAAGGAACATTATCAAAATAGGAAAGTGCTGAATTTGCAGCTTCGATCAATCTTCTTCTTCAGCTCCTTCGCCGAATTAATCGTTTTAGGTAAGTCGGTCACCCTAAATTATAATCCATCTAGTCTATATTGTTTTTTTATGTCATCGGATTCAAATTCTAAATCTTTAAGCCTAATAGATCAGCTAAAATGGGGCGCTTCTGCTCCAATCTTCTTGCTCACAACTCAACCATCTTTCTAGCAACCCACAACTTCACTGTTCAGACTCCATATTCTCGATCCCGCCCTAATTAAGTTAAGTTTTTATTCCTTTTGTTTCTCCTATGTTTGTTATTTGCTTCACTTTTCTAATAACTGGTGGATTGAGTCTCAATGAGACTGATACCACCACATAGTCGATAGATCAGATTTGCAATAAACAAATTTAAGAAACCTCATGTTGGAATTTCTTCAGGACAAGTAGCAGACCAAATAGAAAGTAACTTGCATATAGGACACATCTAAGCCCACATTCCTTGATTGCGTATCGAGATTACACTTCAAAACTCTCACCAGGTGCCGATACTTAATCAAAGAAATGTCTTCAAGAATATGTTTTTAACTAACATTGTGTATGGTTTTGTAGGTACTGTAATGCAATTTTTCTCTAATGAAGATATGCTAATACAAGCAAGAACAATAATTCAAGAAGACAAGCAAGGACAACCAAAGCTCAACTAAACCTTGCTTGTCTTCTTGAATCATTGTTCTCGCTTGTATTAACATATCTTCATTAGAGAAAAATTGCATTACAGTATCTACAAAACCATACACAATGTTAGTTAAAAAATCAGTCAGGTTATTGTCTTCCCTAAAAGTGTGTATTATTACCACCTCCTTCTCTTTTAAGATCTCCTGAATGCATCATATGTTCATTGATATGCCCTATGGAATTTCTGAGATTCCATCTAAAATCTTTTTCATAATTAAGGAATCGGTTTCATAACTTATGCTTCTAAACAACTTAAGGTGCATGAGAAGAACTATTCAACTGATGACCTCGAGCTTGCATCAATAGTATTTGTCGTAAAGATTTGGAGACATTACTTGTATGGTGTTCACGTAGATGTGTTCACAGACCATAAGAGCCTTCCGTATCTGTTCACACAGAAGGAGTTGAATCTTTGCCAGATGAGATGACTTGAGTTCCTCAAAGACTATGATATGAATGTGCTTTACCATCCTTACGCCGCGGCTTATATAGGTGAATCCATGGAAGGCCATCATTGAAATAGTCTTTTTTAGCTTAGCCCACAACAATGTATAAATGTATATGGTGGGTGGCTCAAGAGAATTACTTAACTTACGGAATATAATAGGGGAATCTAAATATACAACTATGTTATATACGATCTAGAGTGATAGCAAAAACATTACGATGATATTAAAGAGTAAGGGGAAAAAGATCTAAAAACAAAGATCTTTTTCCTAAAATCCCCCTTTCCTTCACTTAATATCATATTTCGTTTCAATGAATATTCACTTTAGATTGCTTAGTCCATCTCATTATTAATTCATTGTTAAAACAATTTGAATATAAGAATTTTTGTCAATAATTCTTGTTGTGTAGGTTTACGACGTGTTTTTTTTTTGAAAACGTGGACTTGTATTATAACACGGATATCTATTTATTGGAATATAGTATAACATGTGATTTCCACCGAACATAAAGGAAAAAACTCTTATGCCCGCAGAAACATGATATATGGATATATCAATTCTAGCAATTTTCAAATAGATCAGGATCTAAGATTATTCTCAACACAATATTCAAATCATCTTTGAATGCTTTAACCTCAGCTTCTAAAGCATCACATAAATCAAACTTCTCTCCTTCAGCAAATACCAAGTCACTCTATCTCTCACACAAAAGGCCTTAGAACTGCATTAAATAATGTATTTACTAGATCCATCAGTGTTGCACTTATAACTTCGTGCAAGAGGGCACACCCATCTAACAACTTTTCAAGAAATAATAGAAGTATAAGATTTCAGAAATTGAACAATCTGAGGCCCAAAGTTAGGCACCTTAACAAGTCAAGGTTATCTAGAAGCAGTCATTAGATAAATGTTTCTACTTATCTCTCTCCATGACATTATTGGACATTCTTCCTCCATGCTTTGGACATTTCTTTTTCCAAGCTTTGTAATATTTCTTTTTTTCCAAATTTGTGTAATGATTAATATTGGAAGAGTTATAATCAATGGCCTCAATTTAATAACCCAATCAACACTCCATCATTTATCTAGGGTTTGTTTAAGTTGAATAAAAGGACTATGTATCTCAGCTGCACCTGCAAATGTTATTCATAAAGACTTAGAATTAGTGCAAGACATAAAAAGGTGGTCAAAGACATCTTGTATTGAGTTTGAGCAGCAACAATATTCCATAGAATTTGTTTTTTTTTATATATACAAAAACCTCTCCTATAGAAATTCTTTGAAACCGCATCCTCCATAATAGAAAAGATATTCTTAATGGAATACCATTTTCTCATATGTTCATAATGCCCAACTGGTTCCTTTCCCTTTGTTTAATCATGTTTCAAGCACTACCCACTGTAAATTTCCCTTTGCTATTTGCCATCCACCAAGGTTCGTCTTTTTTTTCCTGACAACTTCATAATTCCCATGACATCAACCACATGATCACATACTTCCTTGTTTTGTCATCATAGTCATGTTCCATGATCTGATGGACATCTTCATATCCTTTTGTTGATCCATGTGTAATAGGTAACACATAGTGCAGAATACCTAGTTATGTCCAATTATCATACCATAGACTAGCATGATCCCCCTCTAGGTTTCCACCATATCTCTTGATCTATCTTATCTCTGGCTTGTAGCATTAACTTTCATACTTGAGATCTACCATTTCATTCAACAATTTGTGGCCTATGTCTTTTGCAATGCTTGTTCCATAGGAAATTAGCCCATAAAGACTTCTTGGTTCTGAAACTCCACCAAAGTTTGACAAATAGTGTCTGTGAAACATCAAACATAGACCTAAACCCTATCTCTCCTTCTCTAGGTTGACAAATGTCTTCCCAAGCCACCCAATACTTTGCTCTTCCTTCCTCTTTAAAATTTTATAAATTTTTTGCAAAAACTCTATGGATGTCATAAATGATACATTTAGGAGGTGTGATAGCATAGAGCATATATATTGACATACTTTGCAAAACATGATTAATAAACACAATTTTCCCTCCAAAAGATAATAATTTACCCTTCCAAGCTGTAACTTATTTTGAATTTTTTAAATCAAAATCAGCAAAGCCAGTTTTACTTTTCTTGGCATGTCCTATAGGACAACCAAGATAAGTTAAAGGAAACTTACCTTTCAATAATCAATTATCTCTTCTACTATCTTCACTGACTTAGTAGCAACCTTACTAAACATCTAGAAAAGGCCTTTCTCCTTATTAATCTTCTTGCCTGACTGATTTTCATATTCTTGCAACACTTGAGTTATCATTAAAAGAGAATTCTTTTTTGTTGATGCAAGGATAATAGTATCGTCTGCACAAGCAAGATAATTTGACTTGTCACTCCATTTTGGTATTATTATAATCTATTTTTCTAATTTATTTTTATATTCAACTTTTTTATATTATCGTGACACACACGTGTATCGCACGTATTCTAAACTAGTAATAATGATGCTCGTAAGGGCATGGTTGAGTGGTGAATCTCCCATCTGAAAGATTTGAAATCGATTCGAGACTCAGATATGAGCTCATGGGATGAAGCTTGTCTAATGTGATTTACATCTTGGCAAGTTATTGCACTATTCCCAATAATAGTAGAAAATATGTTTTTTCTTTAAAAAAAAAGATAAAAAGGAAAACGAAAAAAGTTGAAGTCGAAGCTGCTGGTGTAGACCAGCCGACGGCCCCATATATACTCAGTGGGGAGCTTCACTTGTTGAATTGGTAGAGAATTGCATGATGGGTGACAAAGAAATCCCCAAAAAACAAGCTGCGAATGGGTCGAAGAACAAGAAGAAGAAGAAGAGAGGTGGTTCAAAGAAGAGAATGACATCTGAACAGACTTCGGCATACAATTGTGTGAGTGAATGGGTTTTCTTGGACCGCCCTCATTTACCCAATACTGACGATTTTTCCATTCCCTGGAATCAACCCAAAGAGAAGTTAGTCTTTGAATTGCATTCTCATTCTATTCATAGTGATGGCTTCTTATCACCTTCCAAGCTCGTCGAAAGAGCCCATCAAAATGGGGTCAGTACCCTTTTTCTCCCCTTAAATGTATATTCTTTTATTTTCCTCAAATTCTATGTGAATGGAGTGAGATTAACCTTTACTTAGTTTGAGATTGAGGAATGGTTTTATTTTTGTCGTAGTGTAATTCTATTGATTGGTGTCTGTGCATTTATTCTTTCTAGTAGATTGTATTTACTAGACCTTGAGAAACTGAGATTATTAGGAGATTAAGGATATGATGGTGCTCAAACCCGGACTAGTGACAGACCCATCCGGGTCTGGGGAGTTAGAGTGTACGCAGACCTTACCACTACTCTGTGGAGATAGAGGCTGTTTCCATGAGTACTTCATAGAATATGTATTAGGTAACTATCTCTGACTATGACAGACGCCAGTAAACAGGGACATGTCCAAGTAACATTCTTTTGCTTCTGTTATGTGAGGGTTGTTGAGAGAGCCAATTGACTTTCCAAGAAAATTCAGTCATCATACCATGCCTAAAGTTAAATTCTGGCTAGCCTGCATCACCTCAGGTCAACTGTCTGTCATTTTCGTAGTTCTTTTCCAGATGAAAAGGTACAAGTTTTATTGGTAAGTACAAGGAGGTATTGTGTTGATACAGGGGAAGTTTTTCTTCTACAGATTGAAGGAGTACACAAGATCTATCGAAAAGGCACAATCAGCTACGGCGTTCTTATACCAAACGAAACTACTCTTACGACATTTACACTTCCCTGAGGACATATGTTCTTTCTTTCAGCAGATGCATCTGCTGTTTTTTTCCAGCCAAATGGTCCATAGCATTCTGATGGGTACTGTATTCCCTAGCTGCTTGCAGCCCTTTATAGTGATTCTGTCCATTCCAGCTGGTTAAAGCGTCTGAATGCTTCCAAGTTTATACCCAATGTACTCCAAAGTTATTTAGGAGCATTGACCATAGCTGCACCAATGATTAGAGTGTAACAAAAGATGATTGACAGATACCAATGCTTCTCACATATGTAGCACCTACTGCTAACCTCTATAAATTATCCTTGGTTAAACAAGCTTTGTGTGCTGCAGTTCAAGTGAAACATGCTTCCCTAGGTGCAATGGTCCTCCAAATCCATCTTCCAGGGCCAGTTTTCAATGCATATTCCATGCCCAACATGAATTCTTATAGCCTGCTTTGACTGTATAATTATCATCTTTTCTTCCTCTCTGGCATTTATGCACTCATAAATAACACAAGAGGGGATGAATTGGTTATGTCAGATTTTCGCCTAAGTGATGAACCAGGTTACATTATCTGTTCCACCCTGATATCTTATCAGAAACGAAGACAATGTAAAAGTAGCAACACCATATTCTTACATGGAAAACACCTGGCTCACAAGGGGTAAAAACCACGTTCTGCACCTCTTCAGATTTGTCCCAACCCACTAAAACAATGATCCTCAAACACTTATTCAGATTACAAGTACTTGCAACCTAGTATCTAACTCTAATCCCTATATCAACAATCTACACAGACTGTTGAACCCTCTTCAAGTTATCCCCAATTTGAAGTTGAAGTATATTTATATAAATAAACAATACTTTTTTTTTTTTTTGAACTTGGTAAGGTTGTATTATATCACAAAACAGTACATGGGTTGTACTGAAACCTTATATACAAAAGCTCCAAATTCTTACTGCTCTATGGCTAAATTGAGTCTAAAACATCAATTATAGAGACAGTAGCATTTGAGTATAACTGATTACACCAAAAACATAATAGCAAAATGCAGTTGAGCTTCACTTTCTGCACACTGTTTTCTATGCTCTCAAAACACCTAGAGTTCCTCTCTTTCCATATTGCCCACCATATTGAAGCAGGGATAAGTCTCCATCTGCCTCTGTCTTTTGCCAGTACTCCTGCTTCCTCCCAGCTCTTAAGCCTCAGAAACTTTCCCAGGCATAGTCCAGGAGATGCCTTTGTGACTCAAAATAATCCTCCATACTTTTAGGAAAGTACAACTCAATTTAACTTCGTAATATAAGGTGACTAGAAAAGAAGACCGTAAGACATATTACTATGAAACAGGTTCTTCAATCTGGTTCGTACTTCGTTGTATCAGGTTGCACTTGAATAGCCAATCAGAACTCTCTCAAATATGCTCTTGCTTATTTGCTTACATTTTGCCTTTTCTCTCAGTATAAGTGCATAAGTGTTTTTGTGGAAGGATCTGCATGTATAGTCTTTTGTTTTGCTTCCCAGTTCCCAGTTCCCAGTTCCCAGTTCAACATGAACTCTTGCACGATAAGGACTACCTCTTTGCTTGGATGCATGAGTCTATACGTCTGTCGACTCTTGTCTTGAATATACATTGTATAGACTTCCAGATCTTTTCACCATGAGACTCCTTCATCGAGATGGACTTTGTATACTGAAACATGTATATTCTTCCTGGTTCATGAACTTGTTCCACATCTTTGTCTTATGGGCCATTGAATTGTTTCGGCAGATAACATTTTGTCAATCATCATAACATACTAAAGCCAATAAATTTCCCCTTTTTGATGATGATGAACTTATGTCCCTCGTGTTCTGTGCTTAACCTGTTTCAATCAGTTCAAAGTCCAAGCAAGGCATCAGAAGAAACACTTAGATAAACCAGGTTATTCTAATGGGTTATAAATATGACAAAATAGATACACTCCCCTCTCCCCCCCTTTGGCATCATAAAAAATCTTGTTCCAATTTGGAACAAGAATTTTTATGATGCCAAAAAAATCTGAGTATCTGAATCAGCAATACTAAGTTCATAGCCGCTGGGGCTATCACATGTACAATCAAAACAAAAACGAAAAAAAAACCCAGTTAGACATCTCAAGAGATTTGAAAAGTCAAGTAGAACAACCAGAATGAAGGGAGAAAGCAGGATGTGTTTCCATTAATATCAGTTATATGACACCATATTCTTAAGCAAAAAGACAACAATTCATATTACTAAAAAAGTGAAGGATAATTGGTTACATATAGAAGGAAGGGGAAATGGGATGCTTAGCTGAGCTAGGCTAATTTGGGGGAGAAGGGGTCGATCGAGGGTTCTTTTGAAGCAGCTGACAGAGGCCCTGCAGGCTGGCAGAGTAAGTAGCCCTTTTCCTTGTCAAACTCAGCCTGCAGACTGACAATCTTAGCCTTAAGATTTGTCTACTCAATCTCCTAGGCACCATGAAGCATGGTGATGGCATCCTGATGAGCAACCCTTAGAGCCTCATTCTCAACATTCTTAGCTGCTAAGGCATCCCCCAGTCGCTGCAATGTAGCATTGGACCTCCTTGATGATGTAGGTACAACAACTTAGTTCACCACGCCTATCATATCCTTGGTCATTTGAAAATGCCAAACTCACACAGGTACCTGGAGATGCGCAAGAACAACCCCCATCCAAATTCCATGAGGCAGAACTTGCCCCTTCTTATCCTGCTGACTTACCCTGACCATATGTTGCAATATGAGCTGGGGAAGATCAATGGAAATCCCTGTGTCCAGCAATTCCATGAGAGTGAGATAAAAAAAAGTTAGCCTCAGTCCTCATCTTCTTTTGAGAGATCAACATCTTATGGACAACATCAAAGAACAATTTATGCAATTTCGACATTTCCTTTTTCTCCACTCTCTGATGCTCGTGGACATGGGTCTTGTTGGAGAACTTTTTACTGATGTCCAGGGAAGAGGGCAGTCCATCCAATGGTGGTCATTCATTCCTTGCATAGAAATCCCACCCAGCATTAGGAACACCAAGAACCTGAGCTATCACCTGAGGAGTAATCTCAATTGGGGCACCCTAACATTGCTGGCAATAGACGTGGCAGTACCTTTGGTATTGATGTAGAACTCAGTGAGCTCTGCCTTACACAACTTCCTCCTATGATCTCCTTGGAGGAACATGTTGCTCCAACCCTGAACAACTGTTTTGGCAAGTAGCTCACCCATCTCAAGACCACCATATCCAGTAAACATACGACTCCTCAACACAGTTTGCCTCTTAAACTGGATCACCTTGGCAAGGTGAGGATTCACTTGGTCGTCCTTGTCATTCACAGAGTTGTCGATTTCTTCATCAGTGTCATTTTTCCCAACTCCCAAGTGACTCTGAGGAAGGCAGGCCTCCTCATCTTCCTCACTATCAATTTTCGCATCCATCAGCTTGGACAAGACAGGAGTATTGGATGAACCACATTTGGAAACCTGTTTCTTAGCAGTGAAGGAGGGATTTTTAGGAATAGCCACTCTCTTTTCATTTTCCTTTGTGTATAAGCTTCCACCTCATCATCAGTCACCTCAATAGGAGTAGAAGTAGATGCAGCAGCCTTGGTCTTTGAGTGCCTGATACATTTTCTAGATCACATGGTAGCCTGCAGAAGTGCCTCAGAATCCTTGCGTTTGCTTCTAGTTAAAGGGGTTCAATCATTAAATATACTGAACCCTACACTCTCCATACCTAGGAAACTTTCACATTTTGTACTCTCTTTGATGTTACCAATCCCACAAGTGACAGGAATTACCTCCTTAAGTGGTAGGTCATCCAACCATCTATCAAGTTGCTTTTCTGTATTGCAAGCACTGACCACCTTTAGTCTGCACTTATCATTGAATTCATCCCGTAGGCTCCGTATATATTTCCATACAGATAGCCCATACTGTTTCCTCACCAGATTGATGCACCATTTGGATCCCTTAACATATTTAGTGATTATCACATCCATCAGTAATTCCTCTTTATTTCCTTAAATCTTCAATGCCATTTTGAAAGTAAACTTTTGTTCAGTAGATTGAGATTTTTAAATCCAAAACTTAATTTTGTCACTTGTGAGTTGTGACTGTTCTATTTCAATAAGGGGTCGTTTGGTAGAGTGTATTAGAAGAAATAATGCATGCATTAGCTTTGTGTATTAGTAATACCTTGTTTGGTACATTTTTTTTAGCCGATGTATAACGATTGTGTACTGAGGTGTGTATTACTAATACATGGAATACATGGTATTAGTAATGCAAGGGGTTTTAATGCATGCATTCGCATGATTAAAGACCCAATTGCCCCTCAAAATCTTTTTTACATCTTTTCCACCATATTTGTGGAGGGTATCTTTGTAAATAAATATTTTTTTAAAAAAAATTATGCAATGCATGCTATTTTTAATATACTAAACCAAATAGCACATAAGAAATAATTTTTGCATAATTAATGCAAGCATAACTAATACAAGCATTGCTAATGCAAACATTACTAAGACACTCTATTTAACATTATTCTTATACACCCTACCAAACGACCCCTAAATGCATCTTCCTTCCATCTTAATTTTCTTCTCACAGAAAATTTCACTTATTCTATCCAATTGCCTTTCCACTTTTTCCAGGCATAGGAAATGACATTAAGTGAGTAGGAATCCCCATCCAGCACACTAGTTATTGAAAAGCTAGTTCAGAGAATTAACTTATCCATTTTCAGGACTGGGAGGTGGCTTGCCGTTTGATCTCTTCGAAATGCTGGACAAAGTGAATTTATACCTTTATTTTGTTGAATAAGTTTTCAAGTGAGAAGCTACTAATCACAGGTAAAGAGGAACTCTACAACATTTGTAGGTGGGGGGAAAAGATCCAACATCAGTAAAACATTGTCACCTATTTCTTTTTGTATAAAATAAATCTGCTTCTGTGAGATTCTTTTTCTCATAATTAGTTGGCTAGGTTACCGTAACTGTGAGCTTTTTTTTTTGGACATGTAATTGCATATTGAGCAACTAATTGAGTGCAACTTGCTCATAACAGGTGAAGGTTCTTTCATTGACAGATCATGATACTCTATCTGGCATCCCCGAAGCACTGGAAGCAGCTAGTAGATTTGGCATTAAAATTATTCCTGGAGTTGAAATTAGTACAATGTTCACCCAAGGGTCAGTATTGATTTGACTTAATGGTTATACCTTTAAACAGGGCAAAGATATAGGAGTAGAACTTATTTTCTCTCTCTCTTCAGTGCTCTATGATGCCACGAGGTCTTCCTTCAAATTTCTATTTTTGGTGTTCCATTACAAAATTGACGACACTGTTGATCCTGGAGATTTTTAAATCCTGTCATCACTCAACTGCAGAAATTTAAAGGTTCTCATTACAGGAGGGACTCTGCATCAGATGAACCAGTGCACATTCTTGCATACTACAGCAGTTGTGGACCAGCAAAATTTGATCAAGTGGACAAGTTCCTGAGTAGTATAAGGGATGGGCGTTTCCTCCGTGCGGAGAACATGATTTTAAAACTTAACAAACTGAAGTTGCCACTTAAGTGGGAGCAGGTAGCAAAAATTGCAGGAAAGGGAGTTGCTCCAGGGAGGCTGCATGTTGCCCGTGCTATGGTTGAAGCTGGCCATGTGGAGAATCTAAGACAGGCTTTTTCCCGATATCTTTATGACGGAGGACCTGCTTATGCTACGTAATTATCACTCTTTGGTTAGATTAAATATATAGCTAAGGTTATTTTTATTTCATTAAAAGGTTTGATGAAGAGTGTTTGCTGGGATACAGGGGAAGTGAGCCACTTTCAGAGGAGGCCGTCCAATTTATATGTGAGACAGGAGGTGTAGCAGTTTTGGCACATCCATGGGCATTAAAAGATCCAATTGCTGTTGTTAGAAGATTGAAAGAATTCGGGCTACATGGTATAGAGGCCTACAGGAGTGATGGAAAACTAGCAGGTACCAGAACTATTGCCCTAATGTTTACTACTACTACTTCAAATGATTTTTGTGAATATGTTACTTTTAAATGCATGCTTGAAAAAGTACCTCATTGTAATAATCTAATTGAAATATACCAAAAAGGGAATAATCGAATTGAAATTCTTGTGTCAATTATGATCCCTCTAACTTTTCACCTTCCCCTTTTTCTTCCACTGGCTGGATGTCAAGCCAGATGTGTTGATTTCATTAATTCTTCTGCTTTTATATATAAATGAAGGACTAATATTGACAGGTACGTAATGATACCAACAAGTTCTCAAAAAGAAAGTAAAATACTTGCAATTTCCCTAATTAAACATGAAAAGTTGATATATGACGGTGTTATTTCTCCCCATTTTTGGGGTATATAGAAGTCGTAGGCCAAAACTTTTTATGTTAAATAGTTGTGTTATTTTTTCCGTCTTTCTATTTAGAAGTCTGGTCTTGCAATGTAACTTACTGCCTTACTTTCTTTATTCTCTTGTGGAAGTCTTGTGCTCACCTCTTTCTCTTGTGTTCACCTCAATTATATCCACTAGAACCATAAATATAGTTGAACAAGTGATAGAAATATTCATTTACTCATACCCACTACCTTATCTGCAATCCTTGATCCACCTCTAATTATATTCCGATCCACCTGTTATGAGCAGCATACAGTGACCTAGCAGATTCTTATGGTCTGCTGAAGCTTGGAGGTTCAGATTTCCATGGAAGAGGAGGGAAGCAGGAGTCTGAGGTCGGAAGTGCGAGCCTTCCAATGTTGGCTGTGCATGAATTTCTGAAAGTGGCCCGCCCTATCTGGGGCAGAGCAATTAGTGAAATTCTGGAGAATTACATAAAATATCCGTCAGAAACGAACTTTCAACTTATTATGAGTTTTGGAAAGCCTAAAGTCTGCAAGGGCATTTCTCCTGCGAGTTGTCCCGGTGATTTTATGGGACAATGCTTGTCACTGTGGTTGACAAATGAGGAGACGCAGAATGCGGAATTTGAAGCCATCAAATTGAAGCTTGCAGCCATATCTACCAATCAATGATTAGGTTCTGCAGCGCGCGCTGCAATGAGGATATTCTTTTGCCATAATTTTGGGACACCAAAGCTTCACATATCTATTTATCTAACATCTCTATCTATATTATTATAATTGTCTTCACAGAAGAGACGTGGTACATCGCTTGGGCAAGAAAAACTATTTATGGAGCAATGCAACTTTTTTGTATGACTATTTAGCTGTGTCTTTGCTTTAAATCTTTTTTACTTCTACCATGTTTTACCTATTTGATTTTGAAGAATCGTTGCACTTGCTTTTAAAAAAAAAACCCCACAAAACTTATCACAACACTTGGCCAAAAATGTCTGTAGACTTTCTTCTCCCAATAATACTCAAATAACCCAGTGTAATTTTCACAAAGTGGGGTCTGGGAGGGTTGAGTGTATGCATGTACAAAACTAGTTTACAATAGACCCTCAAAAAAACAGTCCAATGCTGATAATCAAACTGTAAAGGAAACCACAAATAATAACCAAACTTAAAGGACAAACAACTACAAGAGTAATACTACGACTAATATTATAGAAGAATAAGCAAGACAATGCTCAACTATCTAATTAACCACCAACCCTAATCCATGTCCTCCATAACCTTCTATCTAAGGACATTTCCTTGATAAGTTGATGTTGCGTTACGTCTTGTCTAATCACCACTCTCTAATAATTCCTTTGGCCTATCTCTTCCTCTTTTGAAATCATGCATAGCCAATATCTCACACCTTTACGCTGGGACATCCGTTCATCTCCTTTGCATATGCCTGAACCATCTTAGCCTCGTTTCCTGCATCTTGTCCTCTACCAAGGACACTCCTACCATGCCTCTTATATCATCATTCCTAATTTTATCTATTTGATAAACATATGATACTATCACCATAATATGAACAAGACCCAAATAATTACGTCGTTTTGAATTCAAGTCTCATTTCCTTAAAATGAACCCTTAACCTTCCAAATCAAAATAGATACCCTTATCCTTATTTTCCAAATGTCAAATTCCATTTCCAATCATTTTATCAGCATAAATAAAAAAAAAAATCCTTCAAATCTACTCGAGGGAATGTTTCAATATATCATTAGTCTTTGCATAAAAGTTGAGCCAATCATGAGAGTAGTAAGAAACCACAAATCCTGGGGACATGTAAGTTGTTGATGCCTTACTTGAACCTTAAAACTAAAAACCCTTCCAAGTTAGTCACATCACAAATGCAACCTATCACACAACCTTCTCACCAAAAGTACCTAGTTGCTTTGGTTACTTCACGAAACTGATTTTCGTCGTCGATATAGAACCTCAAACCACCAATGCACTAATTCAAATCCATAAAACAATAAATCACTGCACACATTCTTATAAACATTCTAAGATATTTCACACAAATGCCTGCTTAAAACCCCTTCAGCATAAGCTCATTATCCCAACATCAATTCACTCATCTTAGTCTTAATTGATATTACTAATCCTTAATTAAATCTCTGAGATTCCCTTCACAACTTGAACAAGTTAACACTCACCATTGATCCCCCATTTTAAATGTCCTTTTTAATTAATATCTTGCTCAAGTGTCCGTAGTTAAAAAACTTGTTCGTTCTTCCATTGTTGAATGTAATGTCGATCTCCATCCCTCTAAATAGGTGAAATATCTGGTAGATATGAAGGTTTTAAAAACCTGTTTAAGCTAAATAACACAAAGGGAAATCAAAGATTGCGCCTGAAACAAAAAGACGAGAGAGAGAATAGAAGCAGAGGAAAAACACTTTTATTAATGCTTCAAATTAGATATATAAGAGCCTAGAATTAAAAGTAAAAAATAACACACGATCTTAGCGTTTCACTAAACAACTCCTAAATAATAGGAAAGCATTACTAACAATTAATTGACTAAGTCTTACTTAAAACATTGGCACTAAAATTAAATTTACTGCAGTTCAAAAGCAGATTCCTAACACTCCTCCTTGCTTTGGATACTGCAAACTCCAATTTTCTGTCTAAGAAGCTTGAATTTGCTGATCGGTAAAGGCTTAGTAAACAGATCTGCTAGCTAGTTTTCAAACTTGCAGTAGACTAGAGTCACTTCTCCCCTTTGCTGCACTTCTGTTAGGAAATAGAACTTGATGTTGAAATGCTTGATCTTCTTGTGAAACACCGGATTGTTTGAGATTGTAACAGCTGCTTAGTTTTCGACAAGAATGATAGTACTTTCCTTCTGTTCCAAATGTAAATCATACATGATCTTTCTAAGCTACACGACTTGGTTTACTGCTCCTGTTGCTGCTATGAATTCAGCTTCTGCAGTGGATTGTTCAACAATTTTCTGTTTCTTAGATGGTCATGAGAATATTCCTGAACCTAGTCTAAAACAATGGCCAAAGGTACTTCTCACATCATCTGCGGATCCAACCCAATCACTATTTGAGAATCCAAGTAACTTGAAGCTTGGACACTTCTCAAACTCTACACCATAGTCAATAGTACCTTTGATATATCTTAATATTCTTTTTGCTGCTTTTAAATGCATTTCACTTGCACAGTGCATAAAATGAGACAAGAGACTTACAACAAATAAAATATTAGGTCTTGTTGTAGTTAGATACATTAAGCATCCAATCAAGCTTCTATAATAACCTTCATCAACTTTGTCGGCTCCATCTTCTTTACAAAGCTTCTCTTTTTAATTCATCGGCGTGCCCATCGACTTGCATTCCTCCATTTGAAATTTCTTCAGAATTTCCTTTGCATATTTCTTCTGGTAAATGAACACTTCACTTTTGCTTTGCTTGGTCTCCATTCCAAGAAAATAGGTCATAAGACCAAGATTTGTCATTTCAAAAAATTGCATCATTTCTTTTTTAAACTCCTCAACCAACCTTGTATTGTATCCTGTTACCAGAAGATCATCAACATAAAGTGACATAATAAGGATACCAGTGTCACGACTTGAGTCTACACCCTGGACGTAGCCGGCACTCGAAACTCTTGCTAAGAACAACTCATCGACAAAGAACTGACTCTACTTTTCAACCACCTCTAGAATGATGGGTAGTCGAATGATTCTGAGAAATGCACGAGTTAGAATAAGTCTATATGACATAGCTCTATTGCACGATTACGAGTATGAAAGAAAGAAAACTTTCCTTAAATGTCTGTAGTCCATCGTTTATAGAAGTGGGGCCCTCACAACCATAAACAAGACCTTACTTGACACGGCTTCATAGACACCCTAGAACACTTGAACTCTGTGCTCTGATACCAAGTTTGTCACGACCCGAGTCTACACCCTGGACGTGACCGGCACTCGAAGACCATTGCTGGTCCCCAAGCGAACCCTCATCCTGGCTACTACAAGCGGAAGAGTAACTTAAGCATACAAAAGCTTAAAAACTAAATAAAATTCATGAAACTTAAATACAAAGCTTTAACTCAAATGAAAAACTCTGAATATAAAAATAATATTCAACTCGCCATAAAATAGGCAACTTAAGTCTTTAAACATTTAACAAAATAAATGATTCAGACTTCTCAACTATACCGACTATCTATGAAGCCTCTAACTGTTAAAGATGGAAGTCCGGAAAATACCCACGACATCCTGACTAAACTGAAAAGTAAATGAAATCCTTCGGAAATAAGGAGGCTTACCATATCTAACTCGAACTTTTAGATGTATCAATGAAGCTCCTGTTGATGATCCTGAGTACCTGTGTCTGCATCATGGGAAGATGTAGGCCAAATGGCTCAGTACGTGAAATGTACGAGCATGTAAGAGGAATTCTAAAGCATAAACATAAGCTTGAAACTTGATAAAAGTGAGACATACTTACCTCTTTTCAAACTTACTCAACTCAAGGAATACTCAAGGATACTCAAAACTACTCAAACTTACTCAACTCAGAAGTATTCAAGGATAAGGTACTCAACTCAGAGATATGATATTTGACTCTGGGTACTCAACTCAATATAAAGCAACAATACACATGCAATAGATGGAAAGATTTATAAAATAGTAAAAGTAACTTAGTTCGTTAAAGAAAATGCAATAAAAAACTCAACTTTACTTATAGAATAAAGTAATATAGTTTATGTGGGAGATTTTCTAATCGACAACTACCACTATGAGCCTAAGTGGTGATACAACGTCTTGCCCACGCTGCCAGAACTGTCCTATACTTTGCCGTCATATAGAACGCTTAACTTAGTCGATCCACTAGCTTAACTTATGTGATCATCTAAAAAGTATGACCCATTAATACCCATGATGGCTACATAGTTTATGGAGACTTGAGTTAATATGAACTCGCATCCCCATATCGGTGCTCAATACTACTCCAAAAAATATACTTAGCTCATATGTTTTAAAACAACTTCTTTCTTTGGTTTGAGATAATTACTCAAAACTTAGCTTAAAATCTCCCTTGGAATCGATGTTCCCTTTCTTGCTCAAAACTCTTTTGGAAACCTTAGTTTCCTCTCATCTTAATTGTGAAAACATTTACTCTTGGGAATACTTAGTTCCCATATATCATTTTAAAGAAAATGAACTTTACTCTTAGTCTTTACTCAACCTCAAAGCTTAAGTCTTAAAACAAAGTTTATACATTTGTAAAAGACTTCTTAAAATATGGTTCATGCCGAATTATGGACATGAACGACTCAATGCAAGGTTTCCAATAACCATAGATAGAACTCAAATACTTGGAACTCAAGAACTTCAATGTTACTACTCACTTCAAGAATGCTCAACTCAGAGGGTTCATGCGGAATTATGAGCTTGAACTACTCAACTCAAGGACTCAAAGATACTTCTCATCTCAAGACTGTTCGACTTATAGGGTTCACACAAAATTATATGCATGAACAATTCAACTCAAGGACTTCATGGGTAACATGTAATAGTCTCATGATTAGAAATATAATCTCAAAGAGGATTAGGAATTCAATATTCAAGACTTAGAACTTGAAGATACTACTCCTCTCAAAGGTACTCAACTAATGGAGTTCAAGCGGAAGTTATGTGCATGAACAACTCGACTCGAGGGTCTACATAATAACATGGAACTCAGGTATACAACTCTTCTCATTCTCTTACTTACTTCCTTAAAACTTAGTTCAAATCAATGATGGATCTCAAAGAATTCACAATTTAACTCAAAGGCTTTCTTGAACTCTACTCTTAACTCTCTCTTGAATGTGAATTACGAATTCAAGAGTTTTGTTC